AAGTGTAATTCGGCTAGCAGATTGTTGGAAAAAGTGTCGAGTAAATAAAAAGAAAAGAAACATGTCTTTACTTCGTGAAAACAAAATGGCGGCGAAAAAAAAAAAAAAAAAAATAGGAGGTTGCTGTAGCAGAGTTGGTCGCCAAATTTTCGCCAAAAATCGCCAAGTTACCATAATTCAAAGATCAAACGAGCCTTCTTCTGCTTATTCTTAAAGCTTTTCAGGGTGCAGGAATTAACATTCGGAGTAATTTGGATCTGCACATAAATACGAAAGAGAACATTTACACGGCATGTTTGATAGTAATCAAATAGATTCAGGTGCTTTGCAGTTGTTTACTAATTCAATTTACGCAAGCTCACTTTTTTTTTAAAAGTAATTTAAATTTCTTGTTCATAGTTTTTTAGGAAATTACGAAATTTAATTTGATGCTATTATAATACTGCCATACGTGCTGAAAATGTTCTTTTTTAGCTGTCTTTAACACCATTTTCTTGTTTGTTTCGTAGCTATATTTTTTTCAGCTGCCATTTCACAGGAAGATCTTAAGCTCTGGATTAATTTTAATGAATTACTGGTATATGGCTTTTATTTTTAAGCTTTTTCTTTAATTTTATTAAAAAAATAATTATTATATAGTGCATCCAGATTCGAGAACAAATAGCCCATTTTTGTTACATTAATTGCTTATTAGCTGCCCGCTGATGACGTCTACAGAAACAGATTGAAATCCATTATATTTCTGAATTTTTACCATTGATAATGAAAATTACTAAGTGTTATTATTGCTTTAAATTTTGTTACTTTTTCGTAAAAGAAGAAATTTGATTTAAATTTCTAACACTTTAAAAAAATATCCTTTATCTTTCATCTTATTTACAGAAGCAAAAATCGCATTTAAAAAGAAATCTTTTATTTTACTTTCTCTCTTTATTATGAAGTATATACATAAATACATACATTCACACATACATTTACAATAATATTTTTAGATCGAATAATATTTTAAAATTATCTTGTGATTTGTTCAAAATGTATATGTGTATATATATATATATATGTGTGTGTGTGTGTGTGTGTGCGGTTAAAAAAGTAATTACAATTTCAAGGAATCGAATGATTTTGTTTTCATTAAATACAGCTATATAAAGCGAATTAATCAAAACGTCTTTGGCCCACTTCTGGCCGTGCGAGCGGTTACCTGCTTTAGCCCTGTTTCGTAGAGTTAGAAGAGGATATCCTGTAGGATTTCGTGCCAAACTCTCTCCAAAGGTCGAGATACATACTTCGGTGTCATTCTGGGATTGTCGTAGGAGCCTGCTTAGCAGACTCGAACTACGATGGATTGAGGAATGGTTTGGGAATCTGTCCAATCAAATTAAAAATTTGACAAGCAGAAAGACAATCGATGGAAATGATTGCTCATGCGCCCATGCATTATTCAGTTGAAATGTTAATTCCAAGATTCTCGAAAGAGAATATCAGCACTGGGAATAAAATATTGTCAAAGTACTGCTGTGTTGTAACGGTCACGGATGACAACCAAAGGGGTCTGATTATCAAATGAAATGACATCTCTTACAATAACAATTAGTAAGCTGTTGTTGAGAAGAATTCAGAATAGTATCATTACTATGATGAATTGATGAATATTTTTAAAAACATCTTTGTTTGTCTTGAAGCTCAGTTCGTAGCGGTATTCATTACTGAGGACAGTTCTATTCTAGTCATTGAGATTGTAAGTTGTTAGAGTCTGGTATCAATGTGAAGGCGCATATCTGTATGCACAGTTGTGGAGTTATATTCTGAATGATGTTGCGATCACGGACTCTGAATTGCTTATCAATGGCCCTTGAGATTACTGTGTGCACGTTACAGATCGAATCGCCGATACTGACGAATCACTTGCTGCTACAACCGCTTTCGCAGTCCCTCAAATCTCACGTTCTTTTGTCTCGACATATCGCCAGTTGATTTATTCTTTTTTTCCAAAGCTTTAGATTTAAGATGACCATGAAAGGATAGAGATTTGAAAACGCCTCCAGTGTTAAATAAGCACATGTTTTGCGAACGGATAGCTCGAATGCCTATAGGCAGAATTTTGATGACCCGAAGAAAAGTTAGAATAATTTCTTCTGGCTATTATTTTGAAGGAGATTAATTTGTTTGAAGGTTGGTAAAGTTATCTTTTTCTTATAAAAAAAATTGTCCGTTTACTATATGAGCGCACTTTGTATACACGGATCTACTTACGTGTCTCTGTAAGGATCCATTATTAATCCTTTCGTTCCTCACATTTTACCCTACCAAAGCATGCTCTAATTTTAAGTACATAAAACTTATATAAGTATATATAGGGTCTTACATGCTTACTTCCTTAAATGTTTATTGATAATTTATTTTAGACTTAGATATCGACTAGGATTTCATTTATAAGATACATACTTCTAAATGCAAAGTTATTCAAAATAATGTGTAAAGTCTTACTGAAAAAGTTTTGATACTGAAAAATAATCTAAAGTTTTATCCGTACCCATAAATCAAAACATCCAGTTACAGAAAGCCTGCCGTACTTGCTTAAATTCAACTCAAAACAGTTCTTTAGACTTAAACTGAAAATTCCTAAGACACTCTTACTGAATTTAATGGTTAAAGCATTACTTAGGCATTAGTATAATATTTTATTTAAGCATTAGTGTTATTATGCAACAGTGTGAATATAAAATCCGTCATTCCAACATCAGTGCAATTCTGTTGTGGCAACTATGTGTATTCACTGCATAAGTATGAAACATACATGTCTTTATTAAGTCTTCAGTACAACATTGATGTAACAAGTGATATTACGTATACTTCAAGCATCGATGTAATCCTGTTATAATCATTCTGTGTACATATTGTGAAAGTGAACAAAGTGCATGAACTGCATATCCAAGCCTGTCGAACTTCCACTGATCGAATGCATATTCACAAATTGCCTGCTTCATCTGTCCAAATATATCAGTATTTCACATTTATGAATTAAGTATTAATATAATCACACTGTAACCACTGAATGCAAATCATGTACATGTGAGCAATTATGGAACCTGCATTCAAATTTGTAAAATATCCAATGACCTGTACCCAACATTTGGCAAACATTTTCAGTCTGATCAAGTTTGCAATGGTCTAATTTGAATCATTAGATAGCTACGTTATCATTGAACATAAATGTTTCAGTAATTCCATAGGTCTGGGAATAAGACGGAACAACTAGTGACACCACCAGGAGAAGCAGTGATTTTGATATCGGTTTCACTAAACAACAGTAGCACCTCGGTACAGTGTGTCTCAGTAGGCGATGTTAATCTGGATAATCAGGGTAAGGTGCCTTTACTTACTTACTCAGTGTAAGTAACAAGTATCCTTTGCACTTATACCTAACCTAACCTACCAAAGCAACAAAAAAGTAACTTATGCTAAACCTCAAGTATTGGTTTCCTATTTAGTCGCGCCTGTGTTTTGCTAATGATGTAAAATCTACTATCAATCACCACATGAACACTTGCGTGCATTAAAAATATGAATCCTTCATAAATATTTAAACGCTGCAAGCAACTAACCTAGCACCCACAAATAATAGCAAACAGGAAAAAATCCGTATTAAAAAATAGAAAACAAAAAAGGTGAATAGGAAAAAAACATCCAAATCTCATCCGATGACTATAGATTATTAGACAGCATGCATTATGCGATTATGGATACTGAAATAGAAATCCCAAAGCAAATTTTACTCAGTAAAACAAAAACGCAGCACATCCACAATAAGTATTCATCAATATCTGCTTTCGTGTCATGTTACTCTCCATCGATTTAGCAAAAATCTTTCTTATACACATAAGAGATGTAATTGCAAATATCATTTTATCTGTTTTGCAACCAAGAAACTATCTTGAAACTTGAACAACAGTTTAAGCTTAGAAGATATTCTTCTTAAAGAAAAGATATGTTTATAGTTGAACGTATTAGCGAGGTGTAGGTTTCCTTACGTCACTTGAATATCCATCAAGCATTATCTGTCCACCTTATTCCAAGCTGTTTGAGTACAAAATAATATTCGAAAGCTGCCTTCAGTCTGTTTGATATATCTGCTTCTCAATGAGCAGTTTTAACAGAAGAATTTGAATGATTTGAGCTCTTACCTGTACACTTTATTCTTATAAGGGACTAGAACGGTCGCAGTCTTCTTTGGGAAACAAATGTTGAAAACTCACTTAATATTAGCAAACTAAGCAACGTTGTCTTTGCCGTTTTACTAACGGAAATTAAATTTACTTCCATCAGCTTACGAGGACCTTTCACAGTAATTTCATATGTTCACATCATTTCCACTCTGCAAATTTAGTGTTAGAAATGATCTTCACAACAGTGATCCTTTACTTATTTTTGTTACTTTTGATGACAGTGAGACAAAACCCAATTTTAGATGTTGGAGCTTTATTTTGAATGAACAAGACTGTGGTATTTCTTCCTTTTATTTAGGAGTCAATAAAGTTAGGCAGATAGCCCTCGAGGCTTTGCCATAATCACACATGCACATACACATACAGGAGTCACTAAAGAAATAGTGAACTACGTTCTAACACAAAACACAAGGAAAGCCTCCCCGAAGTTAGTACGAAAATAGTTAGATATTTTGTAATGTGTTGCCCTACACAAGATTATAAAAATATCTCAAACTCTGGTGGAACAATTTCAAGCCCTAGCCTTTAAGAAAGCTAATGCAAATACATGGTGAGTCCGACTGCAGAACCCGTATCAACAAATACAACCTTTACACCATGCAGACGAAGTATGAGATTAAGGAAAGAAACAAAGATGCACATAAAACCACTTATTTGTTATGCTAGAAAAATATAATCGAGTTAAATGCACGACAGACGAAATCGCAAATGTAATAAGTGACAGTTATGCCATCATAACTGGTAGAAGCAAACGACTAATCTGAATTTATTTCCAGCTCGGAGCCCTACAACGGAAGTTTTACCGTGCTTTAACTATAAAGAACTGTGTTGAAGATACGTATGGCCTCCCAGAGCCTGGCCAATTAGTTAAGGTATGATTAAGCATATTTCCTGTCACTTATTGTCCTTCTAATTGTCTTTGATAGAGAGTTGAAAGAGAATGTTTTCCAACTCAATACAAGAAAGTCTCATTATCCTAATTTATATGCCAAAGAAAGATCTATGGAATAGTTCAGACTACAAACCTATAAACCATTTACGGAGTGTATTTGGAAACTTACTTTAAAAATAGCACACTACCGCTTTATCTATTATGTGGAGGGAAAACAATAATTTCAGCTTATCAAAGCAGTTTGCAGAAGAGCAGAGCAATATCGGATAATATTGTATAAAATATTTGCAGGAATACAAAATTCTGTCGTAAAATGGCTAAAGGTAAAAATTGGTTTGAATCTATTTTTAAAGCAATCGTCAAGAACGTTTTGCTAGAACAAAAGAAACAAAAATACACTTGTAAGTGGATCTTTAAATGACAAAAATACTTAATTGAAACGCATAATATATGTGCATGTAATAAGTAATTTATTATAATTAACAATCATCCTTCTTTTTCATCTTTAAAAAATTACCAGATTACGCCAAGATAGTTGCTCTAATACTCAAGTACATGAGCAAATGCAAATTTTTTAGAATGTTTTCCACAAAGGCATCCCATTCTTTAGGTAGATAGTCATCGTATATCTTTTCATGATCAATTAAACAAACAAATCTGCTATTTAAAATTTTAGATTTTTATGCATAATATTACGATATCACTTGGTTACAATGAAAATTATGAGTACATTTTCAAATAAAGTAAATAATGAGGATTACAAATAATGAGCAGTTTTAACAAATTTGGGAAAAGATTTTCGAACCCATCAGCCATTCTATACTATCCTTCCCCCAACACTTTATTTCGATTATGTAATTATCGACAGACTTGCATCTGAACATATTATTTCTATTTTCATTCGCCAAAACGAGATTTATTTTCCTAACAACTCTTTTAGTGTTCAAAACCCTTGTGAAAACTGAACAGAAGATGACTTGAGCATTTATTTATGGCTAGACTAGTGACAAAAAAATTTTAAATATAGGTTTCGTCCTTACGTCATTTTCAACCAGAGCGAGATATTAAATCTTGCGGTTTTTACGCGTCAAGGAATTAGATGTGTTTTAAGTGATAAATCTCGAGCTTTAGCAGCCCAGAGGGGTGCAATTAATGTCAGGCTCCTCAGCATTCATGGTGATGAATAAGTTATTTTACGGGAGTGTTCTCCATTTCTGTCATTTTTCATCACTTTATTGCATAGCTTAATTCATCCAATTGTCACTTCGGAGGTGAGGGTATTGGGGCAAGGAATTTTCATATCGCGATGTTGGTTTCTTCTTTCATATTTTTGATATTTAACAGAAAAAGCCAATATTGCATTATTTCAGTAATTTTAAAAGCTAAAATAAAAAGCATATATATTAGGCATTTTTGCATATGAATGTAAATAGAGATTGCGACATAAATTTAGTTTTGTAATTTTCAACGTATGTCTTATTTTACATTTGTTACATACAGACATAAATGCAAGTAACATATAATAGAATTTTTTTAACCTGCAGCAATTTGGGTTAGTCATTTCATATACCACATTTTATCATATAATTACTATGGTAAATTATTACAATAAAGGGCAGAAGAATCTTTATATATATAAGCGGCTGAAGTGTGTGTCGCCGATAGTTATTGTTGCCACTCGGAAAAATGAGGGCGGAAATTAACCTTTTCCGCAGTTTTTAATTAATATCTCGGCCGATTAAAGTCATACGAAGATGAGAACGGTACCGATGGGTTCGGAGAATTTTTTGGAATCCGAGGATACGCGTCTCGAATTTCAATTCGGCGCCGTTCCGTAGATATTCGAGGGGAAAAAAATGGCACGTAGCCAAATCCCTCTAATAAGGAAAACTCAACAAAAGAAGTGGAAAATATAGGGAAAACGCAGGGGAAAATTAGTTTTTGATTAATATCTCGGCTATTAAAGTACCACGAAGACGCGAATCTTCAAAATGGCTTACCACGGACCTGCGGAATCCAACGGTGTGCTTCGCTAAGGCCGGGAACCAGCCGTTTCGGAGGAGATGATGTTACTTCACCCTATATATTATATATCTATATATATGCGGCTTAAGTGTCTGTTTGTCGTCGGTAGTTTATTGGTTGCTTGCGTAACTGTACTAGCCAATAGCGTGAAGCTGAAACGGCACAGGGTTGCCGTTTCAAATGAGACGTAGACAATTTCCTGTAAAACTTGCCTTTCTATGACCATCAATAAGTCTCATTGCCAAACCCTTAAGCGTGTTGGCAATTTTTTACCTGAGCCTGCATTTGGACACGGTCAATTTTATGTTGCCTGTTCAAGAGTTCGTGAAAGAACGGACGTAAAATTAAAAGTAATTGATGGTGCTCTGGAAGGCCAGCTTAAAAATGATGGGAAGATCTACACAAGAAATGTTGTGTACAAAGAGATCTTTGACATGTGTGCGTGTGTGATTATGGCAAAGTCTCGAGGGCTATCTGCCTAAGGGGAGGGATACCTTCGTGGAGGGCTTTCTAAGGGAAACTGGCTCGTATACATGTTACACATGGGAAAACCTCGAAAACGCCCATGCAGCCAGAGCATGATTCGGAGTTTGGACCGAATTACCAGTGTTCAGCGACTTTACCGCTCGGCCGCTGGTGGGCTCTTTAACGTGTGAATTAACATTTTATTATTTAAACCACCTTTATTTATTGAGCTAGCGGTGGCTCTTAAGAAATGCACCGCCAGTGGTTTCCTTCATTGCACTCTCCTTTAAGCAATCAAGCCAGTAGAAGGGGTAAACCCCCTTCACCCCCCGTGGGACAGTGAGCAAAGAGGCGTTCTCGCCGCCTAACCTGGGTATTTCAGTTTGAATTAGCAGAGATCATTGTACAAATAATTTTAATTAAAATTTATAATATCTAGAACAGCGGTCATTTCGTATGACCGCCAGGCATTCTAGTATATGTATAAAACTGCTCATTAAAAACACGTTCAAAATGCATATCTATGCAACGTATTTTTATATGAATGTTTTTAGAACTCAAGAGATTTAACTGATTTTTAAGATTTGTTCTTTTAAGTTTTATTTTAGCTTTATAATGTATCACAATATATATTACGATTTGATCTGTTAAATCGAGTTAATTGCCATAAAATATGTAGATTGCTCTCTCTATATAATTTAAAATAGTAATTGTTTTTAAATATATTTTGTTGTTGTCGCCAATTTTACTTGTCTGACCTAATCAATACTAGCCCATGTATTTTATCATGGCAAGGAGTACAAGATTGAATAATGTTATACAAGTGACAGAATGACTTTGCTGAGATTGGAATTAATTTTGAATAGAACGCCTCAGGGAACTGCTCTGAGGATCTCCTACCCCTCTTTGACAACCAAACCACTCTAAATTACAAATATCCATACATCCTCCATTATTCGAAAACGGGCCCTTCGGTATGGTCATCTGAGTCATTAACCACTATCTCATCTGCGTGACCTGAACATTACTTTAAATTTATACATTAACTTCAAACCATCGTTTTTATTTTCAATTAATTCATATCTAAGAAAACAAAAGGAAATGATAAACACAAAAATATTTTTGAATTGTTATTTATGTTACTATTACTTACTCTTAAAGTGCTGAAGCAGTGTCTTAGAGATGAAGTTGGCAATATCATTGTATATAGATTTGATACTAACTTGAACTGGAAAAATAGCACGACAATCTAAAATTTTAAATTACACAAAAATGCATTTTTTGTTTGATGGAGATTTTAAATAAAACTCTGTACTGATTTCGAGAACAAGCACGGAAACGTTTGTCCTTTTCAAGAGCAAAACTTTGGCAAGGACTTGTTCTTTCTTCTGAAGAAGAGTTACCTCTGCCTGATCGCTTTCGAAATCGATAGAATTTTATTAAAACTCTACGCCTAATAAAAGTCTCTTTTTGTCTATTTTTAAAAGATTATGACTGCTTGAATTTTGACGCAGCGATTACTGTGGCAGAGCTTGTAACCCTAAATATACCGATTGTTACATATATCCTTTAATGCAGTGAGAGTTCAACACTAGCAATTGTGCAGCGCCTAGTATGTGAAGAAAGGGATGACTCTCTGTGGAGCAGAGCTCTTGTTAGTGATATCGCAGTGGGGAAAGCGAATGCGCCCACAACCGAAATCCGTCTTTGAAAAGGGTGCTAGAACGGTGGTTAATATGAATTGCAGATCAAACTACTAGATATTGCTTCAAACCATATCATGATTTACTGCATATAACTATTCTTTATTTTCAATTATTTACTTGAAGTGCATTTAAATTATCTGTATGCATTTGAAGAAATAAGTAGTTTCAAAAATAATTGTAAAAGAGAAATAGCAAATCTTCTTTTCTGTCTCCTCTCCTCTTTACCTGTATCTTTATCTTTCCCTTCTTGTTTGTGGTTTTTCTCTTTGGAGATTGGGGCCTGGAACAGTCCCTGTCTAGTTTTCGAGTGGCGAGAAAATTTTCCACGTGGTTTGCCGTGTCGCGTGGAGACCAGTGTCGTTGAAAAGGAAGGTCTTAGCAGTTGAGGGGCGAGGTACTGTTCTCCAAAAAACTGCTTTGTCCTCTGCTTCAGCTGAACGGAAGGCATTTTGTCGTCTTCACGGGTTCAAATCGGCTGGTCTCCCGATCTTAGTGTCGGCGGCTTATCATACAGGAAATAAATACGCTATGAAATAATTTCATGTATACTAAAATTTGAGTAAAACGAAACATCGAAATTTTATCCCAACGGCTCAATTAACTAGTGAATTTTGTTAATTTATATTTTTTTAAATTTATGTATTTTTCTATTAGGTCAGTAGTTTAGAAAATGAGTGTGATAATATTATTCCCCTGTGCTTTTCAACAGAAAACACTAAGCACATTGATTAGTTATTCGATAACAAATAAGCGAAAAAAATCCAGTTTAGATAACTGAATTGTA